CAAGGTTAAATACATTGAAAAGTACACATAAGGCACTCAAAAACATCCTTTTACACCCAGTGTGTGCGCAAATATGCTCTCATCATTACCTTGAGTGCACTATATAACCTCGAACACTATGCTCTCGAAGCATTTTTCAAGTCAGAATCAAGCCTATTCCTTCAAGAAGAAAAAACCCACCAAAGCTCTTCATTCTCTTCAAATTGCCAATTGCTATCAACACACATATGTTGTAGAGGAGATGGCATCAGATAACTTTCCTTTCCTCAGCTGTGGAATGCTGAGAAACCAGTCAGAAGCTGCAACCAGCGTACAAAAAAAATTATGAATTTGCCAGTGCAGGGAGAAGGATAAAGGCAAAAAAAAAAAAAAAAAAAAAAACAAAAAAACTTGCACGAAAAATTGAACAGAAAAAAAAAAAACAAACAACAAGACTTGCACGAAGAATTGAACAGAGAAAAAGCAAATTAAGCACCAGAGGGTTTCAGAAAACAAAATCATTCACCAGTTGTGGACAGGAAAGTTAGGACTAAACTGGTGACATATTCCATTACTTCAGGAACCTCTTCTGTAGTTTCATTCCACAAAGTATGTTAAGCATCGTATGTCAAAGGCTTTTTGGATCCCTAGGCTCATGGAAAAATAAGTATTTCCATATGCATTTCAAGTGGTAAGAAAAGGCTATCTATGGGATGACTAAACTGCAGTTCTGTCTTGAGGAACGAAAATGTTATTTCAAATAAATTGCAAGTAAAAACTGCTCTCAGACAAGGAAAACCTGTAAATTTTTTCCAAATCCAAGTAAAATAATTTTATTTCTTCAAGAGAAATTATTCCAATCAATTTTACTGGCTGGATTAAGATAATAACTCAATGTAGAATCAGCCATCACCTGAACAGAATACTTGCTTTGAAATTATGACTGATAATGACAGCTATTAAGATCCATTAAAAAATGTCAAGTCCATACAAGGCAATTCCAAGCAAGGTTCTGGTAGGACACTGCTTAAATGCTAATTTTTTTAAGCACAAGAGTGTGCAAGCATTGCTGTTTTGAAGGAAAGGCAGATGGGCTCACTTTGATGGGGATTCATTTGTCTATATCAGTCACTGGGATTTACCTCCACCTGCCGAAGCAGTAAGCTGTTCCACAGGAGACAGCAGTCGAGGAGGTTCAGATGCTTTCCCTGGGAATAAGGATCAGAGAGAAAGATGCTGCTTACGAAACTCCAGGAAGAAACACTCCAAATGGAAGAGATTAAAGGCAGCTGGCACATTTGTGTACACTATCATTCTAAAAATCCGTGTACCTCTGAATATGTATTATGTCACATGCCTAAACTGCAGGAAATGCCGATGATTTTCAGATCTTCTCTGAATGCTTAAGTGACTCCATTATTTTTTCATACATTCTTGCTGTTGCATGACAACAAGAAAACAGTTCTCGGAGAATATTCAGCCTAATACTGTTTCATGTGACAGCTCAGAGGAAATCATCAGAAAAGAATTTTGAAAAATCTTCCATAAAGTAAACCAATGAGAAATAGCAGTAAAGTGTTTAATGCCTGTAATTTATTGTATACATACTCTGCAAAACTTATATGCATTTGGTGTGTGCAAAAGTATACACTTTCTTGACAGCACCAGAAAACAGGGAAGCTATGTACGAGTTTTTAACCTGATTTGTCACATCGTGTAAAAAGACATTGTGCACAAATGATATCCCCAAAGAAAAAAACCCAAACATTGGCTAAAACTAGAAGCACCCTTATTTACACACTAACACTTTAATATTGCATCACACCCACTCACCAAAATAAATAGAAGTACATTCATCACAATTTAAACACCAGTCTCTCCATATATTTTTTATCTTTCTGACATGTTTTGGTCTCCAGAAATAGCGGTACTATATCTAGAAATATGCAGTAGCTACTAGATTATGTTACAAAATGCAAAAAACATAGAAAATTAGTTTTCCTGGACAATATTTTGGGCTTTACACAAAAATAAATCCAGATTTCCATAGAGATCTCATATACTTCTTGAAAGATTTTTATTTTAAAGCACAGCACAGAGTTGCACACTAAGGCTTCCTGTGATATGCAAAACCCTGGCCTCCAAAAGACATCACTGTAAAGTGAAATACAGCTCAAGTGTAAATACAAGACATTTGCAAAATTAGTCATCAATAGAAAGTGCCCTTCATTGGATTTAGCATTAGCAGTAAAGAAGTAGCTACTGTAACTGTGCAATCAAAGCCAGACCTGGAAGGGTTTTATGAAAAATGTAATTTCACACTACCAAGTTGAAGGGTACAGAATCTGAGATAGCAGAAACCAACCAACCTTTTTATACTCCTACATTCATTATTTTTTTGACACAATTTAGTAATAAAGGCACATTGTCAAACAGTGAATTAAAAAAATCTAAAAACCAAACCAGAATTTCATTAACTACAATTAAATCATTAGCTTAACATTAGATCCTCATAAACCAATATAAGCATTCTTCCATTTTTTTCTTCACCTCAAATTCAGATCCACTTTGGACAGGTACTGAAGTATTCTTGTTAGATTACTACTGTTAATCTGACAAACAGTAAACAGGTTTTCGGCTACAAGGTCAGGAATTAAAAACCACAAATTTAGTTCCTTCCTAGCCAATTTACAAATATGCAGCAAATGCAAACACATTAGAACCCAACCATTTGTACAAAATCTGAAAACATTAGCATCCCGTGCCAATTATGAGAAAGTACTTCTTGACTGTAAAATTACAAATGCGTCCTTGAATAATTTTTCATATGAAATAGACAAAATTTAAGCAAAGATCACTGTGTGAAGAAAGTTGCACAGTATTTTAGGGAGGCTAGCAGAGTACATTCCAGTTGCCATCTAAAAGACAAATGACAAAGTGCTTTACAGATTAAGAAATTTAACTGATCTTGCAAGGTTAAATAATCAGGAAGTGGTGAAATAATCAGGTTTTATTTAACCTATAAGCTATGTTTATCTGAAATGCAGATTTAATTCTCAACTGAACCAATTTTGAATTAGTATATTTATTTTGCTTCATAAGAGACTTTTTTTCCCCCCAGCCAGGCAGGAAGTTGCTCACAGCTGATAGAGCTGTCTGCATTGACAGACCTAGAGCCTTTCTCCAGCTAAAAAGAATTTAAAAGTAAAAAAACCTAGTAACTTGATCATGGTCCCAGTGTTCACTGTCTTGAATGGATAATTCTAGGAACTACAACAGAAAATTTTAGATGGTCCCAACAAAGCAGAGTGAATACAACACACTTCTCGACAAGCAGTGAGGTTACACTATCTTGCACGGTCTCAAGTGCATACACTGAGAAACAGGTTTTGTTAGTTAATATAGAAAGTTAATATAGAAAATTAAAAATACAGAGGAGCAACAATGGCATCTTCATCTGAGCTCCCCATCAGCTAATACTGAATTAGGTTATAGAATCTATCCCTATAGCTTACTCATGTCAGTGTTTTACTGAGGCAGTGAAATGCTACACCATCGACAGAAAACATCTTAAAAGGCAAATCCGTTTTTTCTTACATTAAGAGTCAGATGTTTAAAGTTCAGCAGCTTCCAAGATTGTTCCTCACAGGCTGCTATCTGAATTGCTTCCTAGAAGCAGCACTGTTAAGAAGAGCCCAATAGGAAAGGTTCCTTTGTCATTTTTCTACAAGGTAATTTTTCCTTTTCATTCCTTTACTTCCCCTTCCCCCCTCCCCCCAACAAACACCCACAACCATTTTTATACCTTTCCCAGTACTTTCAGCATTACAACCTAACAGCCTCAGCAGCTGAAGCCAGAGGTAATATCAATGGAGTCCTGCAGCTCGAGGCAAAGCTGAGTACTGATACTGGTGAGCTTTGAAGGGCAACTTGGGGAAATCAAAGTAGATGCAACACCAGATTTGAGCTTCAGACTCTCAGTACAACTCTTGTAGACTTACATGAACCCTGTGCTGATCGTAAACAAATTCAGTTACTGAAAGAAACAGTCTTTAAGTGCATAGTAAGAAATAATGTGCAAATATGGGCATTAAGGTAAGTAACTGAACTAACTCTCCTGCTATACATAGCAGTTTAGATTTTTGGTTTGATGAAACTAATCAGAAGTATTAACTAGTTAACATGAAGTTGTTAACATTGAAGAGCTGCAAATACATTCTAACAAAACTTAACTCTGATGTGCTTTCTAAATAGTAAACCTAACGAGATAAATGACTGCTTCACATTTTAAATCATTTAACACATCGGATGTTTAATGCAAGAAAAAACATGTGCACTGTACACAATCTGTAAAAGCAGCAGAAGGTGTTAAACAAATGTGAAGATTTACAGGGCAGGAAAAGAATTCCCAAGCACACGCTTGAGCCCACAAGTTACATACAAACACTAGAAATCCCCGCTTTCAGGGCATGTAGTTATCATATTGAATTAGATTGGCATTGGAATTCCAGACACAGCAAAAGCCACCATAATCTTTTGGCCATATCTATAGCTGCACAAGTTACAAATGACACACACTTTGCTGTTTACAAATAAAGAGGTTCAAATTATTTTTATGGGTCCTCAAATCAGAAAATATGCAGCACTTTATTGCTTTGAACATCTGTGGCAAAAGCTGAAATAACACCCAAGCTGCTTCTGTACAGAAGATGACATTTCAACACTTTGAGGCTCAAGTTGGGAAACAGAGTAGGACAGAAAGCAACTTCTCTAAGTCTCAAGAAATATTGGGGAACAAGAACGGTTTCTTTTAAGTGAATGGAAAATTGGTTGACTGGTATATGGGCCCACACAGTTCCAAGTCAGTGCATAGCTAGTCAGTATTTCTGCTGGCATCCTGAACTGGTTTAATCAATGGAAACATCTATTAATTTTATTCCACTTAATAATACGCATTAGTGCATTAACTTCTTCATAAAAAACCAACCCTGGCAAGTATTAAAAATAAATATCTTATTTAGGTCAAACTAAAGTGTTGCTTTTCAGTACTTTAATCCCTTTAAATATTCTTTTGCCCTCTAACAAGCAAATGGAAACTGAAGTAGAATAAGAGATGTATGGAGGCAGAGGGTAGCAGAAACATGAAGAGTCAACATCATAAATCAGTTAACGTGTCCTCAGCTTCTTAGACTGTCTCTTGCGTTTTAATTCTTCTTCCTCACGCCTCAGTTCTTCTAAGTCCTCCTGAACACCGAGTCTCAAGCTGCCAAATAAGATGAAATCCTTTACAAGCTGCTACTCAAGAAACATGACATTTGACTTCTACCCCTCCCCCAAGAAAAGCAATCCTAAAATTATACAGTTGATTTGAGCAAAAGTTTTAGATCACCTCAACAATCATAAAATTTAATTACAGCAAGAATACAGCTTTAAGAAATAAAGATTTTATCATTAGGTTAGAATCAAATCTTTTGAGGGAAGAAAAATATTTAAAACTTTTGTTAAAAAAATCAAGATTGTGGAAAAAACTGATTTTAATATGAAAGGTTTTCTCTAAAAAGCCGCTGAAACACATCCATCAATTCCTGCCTATGTAACTCTTACATACAAGTCATAGCAGGACTGACTCCTCAAGTTCTGAGAGCCACCTAAACTTTTTACATTGGAGGAATGAAAATGTCAAACAGCAGAGAAGCAAAAGACGTTGTTGCAAGTTCCTGGCTTGAGGTACCATTCAGGTAGCTACAAGCACAACGTTGCTCCACCCTCAGTCCATCTATGACTGCTGAACAGGCCCATGGAAGAGACTCTGCTGATATAGCATGTCTTCGCTACATCCCCCCCATAATTTCTTCAGCTTCCCAGAAGGCAGCATGTTGAAAGGGATACTTCAAACAGTATCCGAAATCACTGACCTCCTCTTCAATAAATAAGGGTGGGATAGTCTTGCTGGTTTGATACTAGAAATGGGTGTGGCAAAGTTACCATTTTGTGATCAGCCGCCACCTTATTTGGAGCCCTACCAAGTGCATTTGTACATCCATAGTTCATTATGAAGCAACATAAGGCAGTGTAGCATGCACCTCCATGTAAAAGGTTAAACCAGATGACACTGAGGATTGAACTGTTCTGGGCTAAACTGCTCCAGTACAGGCTCTGAAAGGGATTTTATTCCTAAACAAGCATAGCAAAGTCATCTTGAATTCAGGAAACTACAGTCATCCAAATTAAGAACAGAAACAAACACATCAAGGATCCATGTGATAAAACTGTGGCTTGAAGCATCATTGTTCATTTCAACTTAGAACTTAACAACTGTAATTTCAGTGGGCTTGCTTAGTTAGAAAAAGTTCCTCATTTCAAGGATCACAGTGCTTTTAACCAAACTCCCAGTGAGAAGTGGCAGAGCACTGGAAATAGTTAAACTCAGTTTTACTCAAGTTTATCCCTCCTTCCTTTATGGTAGCATGTGTAGTTAAGAGTTAGCCAGGTATCCAACTCTGCAAAACCTCACCCTAGGTCTTCAACAGAGCATTCGGTCAATAGCAATATCCCTGTAAAATTCTCGTTGTTTCCTCTAACTCCATTGAACAGACTATAGCTTTGCATGAGCTGCAGCTGTTCCCAAGGAGTAAGGAGGAATAAGGACACTGACTATAACTTCAAAAAGATGCAAGTTTCCAGTGCTCAAGGCACCTTCTGAATAACAGTCTAAAAATTTCAGCAGAACAAAAAAAGTTGGTACCTCAGTATATTTCAATATTTTCCATTATCTATAAAAACCTCTTAGAACTTTCTCAAAGCTTGTTCCACCAGCCATTAAAAAACAAAATCAGTTTATGAACACCAGGTTTTATAATAGTGACATAAGAATTGTGCAGGTCTAGAGGCCAAAACCAATGGTCAAAACTAATATGAAAATATAATCTTCATATGTGAAATCACTGATTACAAAAGTTTGTCAGAGTACTTTATGCATACATAGAAATATACACAAACACATGTATATAGACAAAAACAAATAGATCTCCTTCCAGTCCTCAAACTAGCAGAATATTGTAATGTTTGGGACAAGTCAAAGCGTTTAACATTTCAACTGAAATGTAAATTATTTTTAAAAATATTTTTGGGCATAAGTTGGTTTTGGTTTGGGGTTTCTTTGTTTGGGGTTTTTTTTAACAAGCAAAGTTTGTGATGTATGAGAATGAACATACATGATTTATTTACCATACCCACCAGTGGCTGGCTCAGTTTCATTTTTTCCTAAGCTTTCTTTAAGAACTGGTAAGCTTATTTACCTCTGCTATAAAAAGCAGCAAATATCCACTAATTTAGCCCCATGACTTGGGCAATAAACAAGCTTCCCACTTTCTATCCGAGTTTAAATCCATGCATACCTCCTAGCTTCTTCTTTCTGTTGTTCTCTCCAGCTGCTCTCCATGTAACGTAAGGCATAATCACTTTCATCTTTGTATCTGGAATTTAAATATTAACTTTCAGCACACTAAAAAAACATGGTATGTACAGCCGAGTTATAAATTCATGTCCTTTCTTACAAAGAACAATTACCTTGACATACACAGATTCTTTTACAACAATAAAAAGTTACAGGCCTTTAAAATGCTTGCTTTCTTATACCTTATTGTCAGACAAGAGGGAAGTATTTAAATAAACCAAATAAGAGCCTCCATCTTCCAGCAGTTCATAGTCATACCAAGTTAGATCCTCTTACAGAAGAGCTAACACTATTGCATTTAGCAGTTCTTATTCAGGCCGCTGCATTTGATGGATTCCAAAATACTGCAGACTTATAGAAAGCATTTTACCATCTAACAATAGGAAAGAGTTGCTATGAATTACACAGGTGAGACACTGAAGAAGCTGTGTTGCTTTCCAACTATGTTGTATTGCATCAAATTTTATTGCTCCCCAGAAGAGCACGGCAGGCAGGGTGAAAATTCAGGGTCCCTTCTGCATAGAAGCAGCTCTAATGCTTAAATTTCTGCAATGCAAAACCATTTTTGGATACCAGCACTTCCCCCATTTCTAACACACTTTTATTTGTTAAACTATCTTAATTTCTGTTGTTCTGATGCTTGTTCTGCAATATCTTAAAATTGACATTTTTTCTTACCTTTTCCGGTCATAGCCAAATATTTCCCGAATATGCTTTGATATTTCTTCTTGGGGTTCCCCTTCATCTTCAATGAAGTCATCCATTTCAGAGTCATATTCATCATCATCATCATCTTCTATTTGTCTCTTGTAACCAACAGGTGGTCTTCCAAGACCTAAATCACAGGCGAGTGAAAAAAAGCATTAATTAATAACATTTACATAACATTGATTTAACAGTAGTACTCCTTGCTAAACCTTGGGCACAGCCATTTTACAGCTCTGGGCTTCAAGGTGGAAAACTTCTGCCTGAAGTCAGCTAACAATTCTCAGAAACTCAGTAAAAGGAAATACTTCCTCTAAGTGGTGCTGTAGCAGATTAGGTATCAGTATCACCAACTGCATCCTGAGGAAGCTACCAGACCAAAGTCTATAGTCTTGTTCAGGGTTTTCTAGGCACTTATTTGCTGGAGTCCATGCCACTTGTTTCTGTCCAGAAGTAAATTTTTAGAACTGCTTGCTTACTGATAAGGTGAATTTGCTAAAACACTTTTATCAGTCACAGGTTTTCTGTGGGGTTTTAATTTTCATGTACCACTTTAAACATCTGTTATTTAAGACACTACAAAATTTGAAAGACTAAGCACAATTAAGCAATGCAGGAAGTGACTCCTTCAATTCTTTTCCTTCTAACAGCATCCATATACCAACATCCATCACAGGCTGCTTAATTTTCATTCATGTAATACTGCACACCCTAGGCCTGTATTTCAAGGAATATGAGCATAGGTAAAAATAAATAAAAAGCTGCAAGGCAGAAAAAAGCATTCTACTGTTCAATGCACTCTTTTAAAAGCAAATATGGTATTTTGTCCAAGTCTTCCTAATTGCATCTATAATTGTGAAAGACCCTCAGAGACCTCAACTCAGACATATACAAAAAATACAAAACAAATAACTAACCAAAAAAAATTATTTGCTTTAGAATTTTATACCTTGTGGATGAAAGACAGGTCTATGCTCTTGAAAGGATCTCATTCCATTTATCTGTCCATTGCTAGGTCTTGTGACTAGGTTTTTAGAAGAAATAGTTTCCGATACAACAGTACACTTCGGTTTTACAGTTGCACCCAAGCCGCTGCCTGGTCGCCCAGGTCCTGCACCTGGGCCGATGCCTGGCCTTCCTGGTCCTGTTCCCAAGTTGCTGCCTGGTCGCTTGGCTCCTGTGCTTGGACTGATCCCTGGCCTTCCCAGGCCTGTTCCCAAGCTGCTGCCTCCTCGCCCAGGCCCGGAGCTCGGCCTGACTCCTGGTCTTCCTGGTCCTGTTCCCAAGCTGCTGCCTGGTCGCCCAGGTCCAGTGCTTGGGCTGACTCCTGGCCTTCCTGGTCCTGTTCCCAAGCTGCTGCCTGGTCGCCCAGGTCCTGCATTTGTGCTGCTGCCTGGCCGTCCTGGTCCAGTGCCCAAGCTGTTGCCTGGTCGCCCAGGTCCTGTGCTTGAACTGCCAGCCGGCCTTCCCGGTCCCATGCCTGAGCCACCGCCCAGCCGCCCAGGTCCTGGGCTTGAGCTGCTGCCTGGCCTTCCAGGTCCTGCAGCTGAGCTGCTGCTCGGTCGCCCAGGCCCTGGGCTTAAACCACTTCCTGGCCTTCCAGGTCCTACATCAGAACTGCTGCTCGGTCGCCCAGGTCCTGCACTTGAACCACCACCTGGATGTCCAGGTCCTCCTTTTCCTAAGCTGCTGCCTGATCGTTTTGCGTTGGAGTTGATTCCATGCTGAAGGGCTGCAGCATTTCCCGATTTTGTATGGGCAAACTTTTTCAGGCTGGATTCTTTAGCAGATGGTAGCCTCTTAACCCCATTGGCCACTGGTTTTGAGGGTGGCACATGAGAGCTTGAGCCAGACTTCCCAATACCATTGACAGGTAATTTACTATGATTGCTACCAGTAGAGCTTTTTAAGGAGCTATTTTGTGAGTTTTTTTCCACTTGATCAAATCTGGAGGAAGATGATGACCGTGAGTGTTTTTCAGTCAATGCTGGTGCTTTGGATTTCTTATCAGTACCACTCATAGAAGATGATAGACTGCCTTTTGGTGTGGAATGTCTATCTACTGAGCTTTTGTTAAGTTTTGCATTCACACATTCTTTCCGAGAAGTCACTTTTTTTGAAGAACTGGATATCCCTGCATTCTTAATCTCCTTCTCACTTTTCTTATGCATTTCTACTCTTTTGTTTTTGCGTTCCAAATACTCCCTCTCTCTCAATTCTTCTGCTGTTCTGGGTCTCTCTTCTACTTTTTTCACTGCTTTTATTTCCACTGGTTCATATTGTTTTTTTTCAGCAAGCCTCAAGAGCTCTGCAAAGTTCAGAGGTGCTGGTGCACTTTTGGGAGGCGCCTTTGGCTTCACTGCAGCTTTGGATGGTTTCTCTTCATATTCTTCTTGCTCATGCTCAGATTCAGTCTGACTGTACTCAAGTTGCTCAGTTTCATCTTCTGTTGCATACTCAGCCTCTTGGGCTTGAGCAACATTCTCACAAGTCCTCCTCTTTTTAGGCTTCTCTTCACCAGGAAGCCCATTATAGCCATGAAAATTATCCTTCGTTCGTGAGGCCATAGCTCTTGCCTTTCTGTCATGTTTCAGTTCAATACGTCTAGCCAACAGTTCTTCTTTCTTTCTTCTTTCTTCCAGTGCTGTTAAAGAAAACCAGGAGAAAATTATGCAAAATTACTACTCTTTATTTCCGTTTCTTCCAAACTCATAAACTATTTGGGAATACTAGTTTAAGGATATCTGGCTAACAGTTATTCAAAATGGACCAGAAAGTGATCAGAGGTCTGCCAACAGGGCAAGCTAACCCACCTGAGTCAGCTAGTCCGACAAACAAAGGCGAACAATTAAGCCAAATGCTGCTACTGCAAAACCCATTAAGGTGATTCAACCAAAGCAGCTATCCAGCATGCTATGCAAACTAAGGAGAATTACTGTGTGAGGAGGTACAGGAGTTACGGGATCTCTGAGTAATGGAAGGAGTTCTGAGACTAAGCAAGAGAATTTTGAGACTGCAGAATTTACTATCAGATGTTTAAGGGGAGATGTGGAAAGGAGAAAATCAAAGAGTATTCGGGGGATAAGAATTGGAAAACAGGCTGAGTACACGTGTAAAGGGTGTAGAGGAGAGTCAGAAGACACAACAACAGGAACTCTTACTATTTTTTCCCCCGGACGAAGCTTTCCAAAGTTAAGTTACCAAAAGCCCAGATGGTTTCTTGCAGTATCTCTTCACCTTAACTACTTTTCAACCTCCAACAGTAAATATTAATCAGGTACACTGGCATTTAACTCCTTAGGAAAGCATGCAAACATCCCTAGTCCTTACTTAGTCCTAGCTTTCCCTCAGCATCAGTTATGTGCATAAACTCCACAAACAGATGTATAGCTGTATTTGCAAGAGCTTTGAATAAGGTGACAGTCTCTCAAGGAGTCAATGAAAGTCTCCCTTACGAAATATTTTGGACTGTTACCTTTTTTTCTTTTTTCTTCTTCTTGCCGTCTGAGAAATGCTTGCACTGCTGCAGACTCTACACCTTTGACTTTTGGAACCTTTTTGGGAGGACCAACAGCCAAACTGTACCTTTTCTGCAAAGAACAAAGAAATATGTCAGAAAAGTTAAGAAATGTAAAAGTCTAAGTTTTTAAACCTGAGGAGTTGTGGAACAGTCACGTACTTGACTTTAAGCATAGAGATGGTACAGAATAAACAATGAATTCCCATGAAGCTGAATTGTGACAGATACATTTGACTCCTAGCCCTACTTTGGTTCAGGCTGACTAAGGAGCAACAGGCCTCATGTCCTTGGGGTGAACTTGTAAGCTAGAAAGCCCCTGGCTCACATATAAGAGAGTGAAGGTGTCATGAAAAGTGTTTTGAAAGGTGGTTTCGAAACCCAAAAGTGCAAGATAATCAAAATACAGAACAAGATACCACAGCTAAAACGAAGACATCTATCTTGGCTGCTAGTCAATAGTATAGACAACTCCTTCACCCTATAAATATTACCATGAGGATGGCCCCAGTTTGAGCTCTCCCTGAACTGCAGCTGGACTGCATGCCAGGTGACTCTCCCCTTGAGGAGGGACACCTCTCAAGGTTAGGAGATTCCTTACCTGAGACTAAGATATCCTTCCTTACCCAAGGCAGAGAGATCCCTTACCCGCAACAGTTCCCTGGTAAGTGACAGACAGCATGCTGAATTAACATTATGAAACATTAGTAATCCATGTAGCTACTCAATGTTATTATAAACATTGTATGGATAATTCCATTAGACAAACCATTGACCAAGTCTGAGACTAAGATTGGATCCAGTCATGCCTAGGCTCCAAAAGGAGTTTAGAAAGCAAGGGGGTCCACTCTGAACCTCGTGATCCAACAGGAGAGCATTCCTTACTTTTTGCATCTCTGGTCTCTCTTTGAATCATTCTATTTTCCTTTATGTTTCTTCCATGCAGTAATTAATAAGGTGGCTCTTGCCAAATTTATTGAACCTTGTCAAACCACTGTTAAAACTTTGTTAAATTCCATTGAACTTACTCAACTCAGTCAAATGATTATTTTATCTCAATAAAATGTATTGCTGCTTCCCTCTTTTGAGTGAAATGCATTCCACTCATCTGTGACCAGAGTGCACTCAGCTTTCCAAAGGAATGAACAGGAAACCAGAAGAAAGGTAGGGATGTTATACTAAGCAATAAAAAGGGGAATCAAAATGTGGAACGATAACTGATATTAACAAGACTATTGCTGTTGTAGGTATTTTTGTAAAGTGTTACCCCTTAAGTTTAAAATTAACCATAGAAACTAAGAAACAGGATTTTGAATAATGTGTTATTGTTTCTGTAGAAGGATGTACCTGTCCAAAGTAGAACCAGAGTGTGATGAATCGTAAGAATAACTAATGAGCTATGAAAAACTGTTGAGATTGCCAAAAGAAACAGGTAACTAGGGGGAAGGTAATTCTGGCAGGGCGAGATCGCAACCACTGACTCAGGAACCACCTACCCCAATTATACCCCAGACTCAAAAGATGAAGAAACTGAGCATGCGTACTAGTTTACATGCTGGACAAGGAGACTTTAACCAATCATTTAATGGAACAACAATGCATATGTAGTAGGAAGATCAATATGTTAATGCTTTGTGTATAAATAACTGTTGATTTGGAAGCTTGGTGTGCTGTCTCGGGACAGACACCCATATTTGTGCAAATATACAATAAAATACCTCTGCTCTGTGTGTATATTGGCATACTGCACACCAGGTAAACAAACCTCGAATTTTGGGACAACAAGGAGACCAAGAGAAATGAGTAAAATGCACTAGACTTAGAAGGAATGCAACAGGTGCATCAGCAAGAGAATAAAAATATTTCTGGTCAGCCTTACTCTTTGACAAAGCAGGAAGCAAAAGCAGACTACGGCCCAAGCTGTCAGAGTCTGTTGCAGGTGTACAGGTCCATTAGGGCTTTCAGCTTTTTTGTGAATGCTCATTTCAGTTTCAGGTTATTTTATACGGGGGTGGGGGGGGGGAGGGAAATCAATGCAAAAAATGGAACTACTCCGAAAGTTGGTGCTACCTTCACCAGTATTAGTAGGTTGATCTAAAACCAGTGATATTTAGTTCCTCCTGCAGTAATCTTAAACAAAGAGTACTGTACATCAAGGAGCAAATGATCTGCATGCCAGTTCACCTCAATAGGCACAGGCCTGCACTCTACTAATTGCTTGAGACCCCTGGATGAACTCAGCAGGCTAACTGTGACAGAATATGCAGCCCCCACTTGGCACCTGGCAATTAGACCACCTGCATGTGGTGTAATTTGCCTGGAGTAAAGAAGGCTCCAGAGAGATCTTACTTCAGCCTTTCGATAGTTAGAAGGGGCTTGTAAGAAAGATGGGGACAGACTTTTCAGTAGAGCCTGTAGCAACAGGACAAGGGGTGATAGGTTTAAACCAAAAGGTAGATTCAGACTATATAAGAAAGACTTTTTTACAATGAAAGTAGTGAATCACTGCAACAGATTGCCCAGAGAGGTGGGAGATGCTCCATCCCTGGAAACATTCCAGGTCAGGTTGGACGGGGCTCTGAGCAACCTGCTCTAGTTGAAGATGTCCCTGCTCACGGCAGGGGGGTTGGGCTAGATGACCTCTGAAGGCCCCTTCCAGCCATTCTATGATTCTATGTCTCATTATATCTCGAAGTGAAGCAGCATGTTTTCATATAATGTCATTTTGGTTGGCAGTGGAAATGATAAATAGCGATGTTTACTTCCAAGAACATCCTATAAAAGCTCTGAAGACTACAGTGCTGGTGATCCTTGCCACAGACAGGATTTGCACAGCTTGCCATGCCTAGATACCTGTACAGTGCTGTAACAACTCAGAGCTCCAGCAGCTGAACAGATGTAAAGTTATCTATGCTGTCCCCTTTATTCCCCCTTTCCTGTTATCTCCAATAAATGTTATTTTAATCTGTATGTTAAGAGTCCAGGTGCCCTCCTTACTGGCATCTATCATGAATACTTGCACTAGTGTGCTACACCTGTTCAGACATTACCTTTCATAATGTACCATTTATCAGACTGGACATTAGAATGATAAAATGCAAGGAAATACAGACTTTTTTATCTTCTTCCCACAAACAGACTAGAGAAGATAAACAAGGCAATGGGAAGGACAGACACTTGCAAAGATAAATAAAATAGAAGCCAGCTAAATCCAGAAGCAGATGGAAAACAGAAGAAAATACATTTACAAAAACAACAACTCTATCTGAGGTTTGAGAGGTTTGGGGTTGTTTTTGGATTTCAGTAGTAAGCCAATAGATTATAACCTAAACGAAGATCTTCCACATGGAAAGTTAGGATCCTCACCACATGAAAGAGCTGTGAAATAGTCCCAAATAAAAACCAATATCACTAATAAAAAAGCCACACAAGTCAGTATTACCATAAATATCTTCCTATCCTCATGTAGCCTTATGAAACTTAACTAATTAAAATCTCTGGTAAAGATACCTACATCCAAATGTTTTAGGAGCAATAATCAGGCAAGCTAGTAGCATAACTCCCTACAGATTTCAGTTGCACCCAACAGAAGCCTTTGTTCTAATTCATTGGCACAGCAGCACACAAATAGATATCTGGATTACTTTAACTCCTAACATGCAAACCCACACATTATCTGTGTGTACACACGCACTAAGCCGCAAGGTTCAGATTCATTTCTAAAATGCAGCCAAAACTGGGTCCAAGGATGGCAGCCACAGTAACAGCTGAAATTACTGAAGCAAAATTATAAAGATACACCATCCACGTACACTGTAGTAGTAAAACCTGACATGTTGCCTCATCACATTAAAGACCTACTATAGTCAAGCTCATTTACCAAGATTCATCTCTGTGCAAGAGAGTTTACCACAGTCTGAGAACTGATTTTGTAAATCTTTATCACTTGGAGAAGCTCCAACTCTGAGCAATTTTTTGTACTTACAATTGAAATCATTAGAGAATCAACCATCATAGCTAGGACTATTTAAAGGCTAAGACGATAGCTGGAGCTGGGCTCCTTTCTTCTGGGAAGCTGAGGTCCTTCCCCAAATTTTGTGTTGTTTACACCAACAGTATTCCAAGACCTAACTTGTTCAGGAACCACGATGCAGTACTGCCTCTCAATTTTTGCTCAAATGTAGCCCGTGACTCAGTGGCCCAAAGTAATCTGGCACGCTCCATCTAAACCAGAACAGATAGAGAAGCAAAGAAATCCACACATAATCAGTGAAAACCCTTTCAGAAAAAGTTTGAGGCAAATTAGTACTCTGTAGTATACTCCTGTTAGTATAACATCTACATAAATTATGTTACTCCTGAAGTTAAACAGGTCATATTTTGCCATTAGTAACCTAATTCGACAAAACTTGGTTTAATTATTCAATTTCTACACAGTTTTTAAAAACAGACAAAACAGGGCATACAGTTGGACCTGATCTGAAAGGTCGGTTTTTCCAACCTAAAGTATTCTAGGGTCTGAAAGAGTTGTAGGCCTAAGGAGCACCTTTCAAAACTGCTTAACAGCAGGGACAAATGCAGATTGATCTATCCTGTTAGGAAGCCTTATAAAGAATTAAAGTGATGGGGAAGCAGTTTTCAGGCTTTGTTTCGCTGCACTACAACCAACAGTCCTATCCAGGAGCAGGTTTGTAAAGCAGCTTGACAGACATGCTGTTTTCTCACTGCCATTAACGCAGCAAATTGTGCCAAATTTGGGATTTAAAAGTCTCGCTATCAACAGCATTTCTTGATATTGGCTAACAACGGAAAACACAGCTAAACAATTCATAAATGAATACCTGTTTTCTGTACTGTGAATCACTACTATTGCTGAGAAAAGTTTTCTCCACCTTCATTTAGAAATAGCGTAAAATAATCAGCTTAAGTTTAGACCTTCTAAAAGCACTGAACCATGCACATGATCCACAAGCACCGATAAACTGTTTTACTTAGAGTGCCAATAAATGTGCATCAGATTCCAGGTAAACCAGACAAAATAAGCCAGGGCATGTCACTATCATCCAAGCAGCAGTTGCACTATTCTGGCTCTTTATAGCTATTGCCAAGTCAGTTAAATCAGACAAACAGAAACGTTTAGCCTTTAGGAGGGCAGGTCAAGCTGTTCCCAGAACACTGCACTACTCAAGTTGTAAACACTGATTCTATCTCTGAGTAGAAGAACCTGGTGACAGCTCTAACCGAATACTGCCGAGATACATGAAGTGAGCACTGCTTTACATGAAGGAAAAAGCAAAGGCTGTGGAAGTGCCTCTCCAACTATATACCTTCAAGAAATAACAAGTCTCTTCCTCCCAGAGTAGTATTTCTCCTGAGGTTTCTCATTTTTTACCTTCACCTCTGCAAACCTCGCTGTAGCCACCTACGCAACACCTGGCTCTCCCCAAATCTGACCCATGGTACTCTAAGAGTATGGTGGAAAGTCCATTACAGTGCTTTCCGCTTACAGCCAGAATCAACTGTTTCAGTGGGTTGTCCAGCATATGAAGTTATATGACTGACAAGGAAGCAGATTTCTGTCTGAAAAGTATACCTCAAAACAAAAAGATAAAATTTAAAAAGACTGGTATTAATATGGCAAATAAAAAACCCCACCAGGCCGCATGTGCCTGCACGTTCACAGACATGCATACCGACTTTGAGAAATACATATCAGATACAGTTTACATACATATAAGTAAGACACCCGTCCCTGAAACGCAGAGTGCCAGTGTCTAGTAGCCAGCCTCAGCCAGCAGGCAAGCTCCAGGTCACAAGTTTAACTGTGTAACCTGCAACCAAGGTTTTGCTCTTAAACCACTGACTTTAAAAAGTGGCACGCAATCCTCACACTGTTGCAGCTGTTTTGATGTCAGCACTCAAATGCGAAACCTTGGACTGTAAAACAGATATTACAAAATTATTGTAAGCTTTGTGGCATCCAAATGAAGCCCCAAAAGTTATAGACCAAATACTAGACCCAGACACAAGCAACAGTAGTAGTACTGTCTTTAACAATGATCAGTACTTACACTGGCAGCGACGCAAGACGTGAGTGATCAATTCTGCCAAACTGGATTCTCAGAGCACCTGTGCAACTGAACATGTTTGCTGCAGGCCTGCACAGGCAACGTAAAGACAATGCCATTTGTGCTATCCCGTGTGGGCAACTTGCAGAGGTTCTCACACAGTGGGTTTTTTTTGATTACTTGTTTTCCACTAGCAGGTTGTGACCCCTGTACAATGTTTACAGCTCTTCCTATTCTTCCCTACCATTCACCAACACCAAGACATGTAGCCCTCTCCAATGGGAAGTCCCTGTTTCCCCCTCAATATTCTTCGGGTTCGCTGACCCAATTAAGCTGCATGTTTGTGTCACTCCTCTCGCAATGCCCCAACACTAACAGTTCCTCAAAAGGCAGCATTCCAAATCGGTAAGGGGTAGTTTGTGCTAACTGCCCAGGGGCCTCTGCTGCCATCCCGTGCTTGTACTTCCGAGGCCTCTGAGAGACAGCTTAGCACTGTCCACTCTGCAGGCACCACGCCGGGGTTACCAGCAGCTCGCTCGGCAGCTGGACTTTCTTAGAATAAGTGCATGTAGTGCCTTCTCAACTACTATTATCAATATCTAGTTATGACAAAGGAAATGGTAGTTAGTAAGCATGCTTAAATTTATTTGATTCTCTTCAGGTTCTAAAGAGAAAGGCTTTACTGATAAGAGTATTTTAACTATCAGCTGTTCTTATCTCCCCAAACCAATTTAACCAGGTCACACATTTTACTCCTAAACGCAAAAATAATTTTCTTAAGAACACACCCAAGCTGAACCATTAGCTGAAAAAAGGCAGAAATTTCTTCTGCTAAATGTTGCTTCACACAGTAAAAAAAAAAAAGTCTAAAAAGCATACTTTATGCTCTCCCTTATGTAGTGGTATTGTGGTCCCCTTTTTCATCTGCTTAAGCAAGAAGAAAGACCAGGAATAGGAAAAGCTAAAAGTTTTGCACAATTTAGTCAGTGTTTGCAAGCGCCTGGAAGTTTGCTATCAAGTTCAGTCAAGTTCAAAGTAAAAGCCCTCCTCACCCCATGCCAACTTTTTTTACATTGCACACCTTGCAGTTCTCATGTGGACACCGATATAATACAAAGCATTTCTAGGCTCTGTTTTGAGCCAAATTTTAACCACATAATAAATGCATGCACACCAATTGAACAAGAGTCTGGTTCTACAGCAATGTGCACCTCGCAGCCATTCTCCACACTTCTCTTGCAGGGCTTCTCTGGCCTGTGGGCAAACGTTCGACAGTTTGTCGAGCACAATTTCATGGGCACGCTCTCTAATACACCGGGTCCTCTGAACAAACTCTGGGATTTTGCTATTACTGTTTTACATTGCAAATGCTTAACTTCTTGTAGCTACTGGTACTTGTCAACTGTACTGGAGGCTATTTTGTAACGACGCATACACACTATGTATCAGTCCAATTTAAAACGAAATTTCAGCAAGTGCTGACGTGGATGACAAGCTGTTTCAGTTTCAGGTCACCTCTTTGTGGTAAATGCTATTCCGTATCAGATTTTTTTGTAAGTTCTGTACAGGAAAGATTCATCCTCAGTCAAAAGGAGTAGGGAGCTATATCAGAGAATTTCTAATAAACTATTAGTGACAACAGAAACAAGGTGAAATAAAAGAATGACTTGTTTCCAACTATGTTCAGTGTTTTTTTAAAAAAACTGCAATACATTTTCACACTATCTTCCACACAAACATCTCAAAGTGCTTCACCACATCCACTATGTCACGTAAAACTTGCAGCATTAACAGACCAATTTAACCAAAAAGAGAAGAGCGACGTAGAAAGTATTTAATCTTACTGAAACCAACATAACATCTCATAACCGGTATCATGTCTAGTCAAAGCAAGATCACACTGGAAGTCTAATGAACTGCTAATTGAACACATGTAACAAGATATATACACACACACAATAATGAATCCCATGTGCTCGAATCATGTGAGAAAACTGGGTCTCTTTTCAGCAACTGCCATAAAGATTATTAGCAGCACATCATTAATAGCTCATACAGGAGTTCATATATGTACTATTTTACTTAGAAACAAAACCTGATGCAACTAATAGGGCATCAGAAGGCTGATTTCAGCAGTGTTCCTTCTGAATCTGCATTACCATAGGGAGATGAACAAGCAGGTCCATTTTTACAGAGACATGATGCAATACCTGTTTTAGGCAGGCCCCTCTTTTACAATAAAAGACCTTTTTATTTCTTAAACAGAGTTTTTTCTACAGTTTCTACTGTATATATATATATATTACAGTTGCACATGTTACTTCATTTTTTCATTACAATAGGCATGGAATATTTGTTTTAGTGCACTGTAAAGTTTATTTTAAACTTCTCAAAGGGCGATTCAGGGGATATGCTGATTAATGCAGGAACTAACATTTCTGGAAACCCATTAACTTTACATACCAGTAAATCTTGTAATTAGTCTGAATGATATTTTTAATAAAAATATTTAAGATTAATTATATTATTCTTATAGGCAGATATTTTACATAGTAGCTTTAATCTAGTGGAGTTACTTTGATGTCCATTGATCAGAAAACTTCCATAAGCCCTCTTCTGAAGCCTAACAGCTGCAGATAACCTCAAGCAGTGCCAACTGCAGCTCTACTTTTGCACAGAGACTAAGGCAAACTTCACAGTTAAAAGCCGCACCACTACCACGCTAGAACAGCAGGGAACCAAACTGCTTCAGCGACAGCTTGAATTGCACTCTCGCTCCATGAGTTAATCAGGTAAGCAAATCCTAATCCTGCCTTTTCTAAAAGGAGTAACAAAACTCTCATCCGTCGCACAACGAGTAGGATTGCCTCCCTCCACCATCACATCTGCAGCAGAGAACATGGCAGATATTTTATCAGTTCATCATCATGGTTTATAACGATTTGTGACAAAAAATAGTGGCACAGTACATTAAAGCTGCAGGAGAAAATAAAAAAGGTAAAAAGAAGTTTTAAATGTCTGGAGAAAGAACTACAACAACCCAATGATAATTTAGTGAAACACCTTGTTTCAAGTCATAAAGCAGGCATTTAAATGTCTTAAAGTATTCATATATTTAATATTTCCATATTTACATTATAAACCATATTTCTATGTAGAGCCAAACTAAATCAGGGTAAATATTAAAGCGTACATTTTATAATATTTTTAAAACACGATGGGTTCTGACAAATTACACATACCTACATTACGGCCAGTCCACATTATCAACTGGTCACAATATTAGCGAATATTACCAAAGTTTCACTAGTGACACAGAGAGACCGAGAGCCTCTCAATTCTCGAGTGTCTCCATTTCAGCAGTGTCTGAACCAAAGAGTATGCTGCTTCTGTTTTTCCTCTCGTTTATGCTAGAAACAACTACCCCTCTCACTTACACTGGTTTAAGCGAGCTAACCATGGAAACACAGAAGTCTGGCACTCGGTTAAAGAACAGACATGAAAAGTGTTTCCCTAGCTGGCGGCTCCCAAAGAGAAAATATTTTTAATCCAAATAAGCACATATGACTTATAATTTGGGTCCTGCCAAAGGAATGAAACCCAGTATATTAATGTCCCAAAGGGCCACGGGCCCTTCCTACTGCCAGGCTCCATTCGGCCAAGCAAGCGGGTTGTTTCACACCGAATCAACACAAAACTGATCGCTCGAGTTGAAATGCAAGCTGCTGAATTACAGACTTCAGAACAATACAAACCGAAAGACCCGTCACCGCACAGAGGCGTTGCGGGCTGTTCCCCAGCAGCGGACACGCAGGTACCGGACAAGGCAGCGCATTCATCCCAAACTTGGTCATTCTTTGTCTCCGACCCGCACTTGAGACGTGGCGGGCCTCTGTTTTCAGAGCAAACAAAAGGGCTGCTCCGCTCATGACCGCAGCCGCTGCCCTCCCGCCGCCACCGCCCGTGCTCCCCGGGCC